TCCTAGGGGGTCTCCTGCCCTAGCACTACCTTTGAGGATCCATAGGGTCAGCTAACAAGAAGAGGCTGAGGACAGAAAGGGTACTGCCCAGTGTTTTCCAGGGAATAGCCCCCCCCAGGGGCCTGGGGGAATTCCCTGGCTTCACAATCTACCAATGCAGATTGGTAATGATCTAGAAGGATAAGTCCACCCAGTAGACCCACTCAATGAACTGGTAGGAAAGGTGGTTCGTCCTCGGACAGCTCCCAAAGGCTGGGAAGGAGGGCAGAGGAGGTGTGGTCGACACTCCTTGGTCCAGTGATGTGAACAGCTCTGGTGGGCTTCTGGGGGACTTTTTACTTTCAGGGCACTGTTTTGACTTCCTTGACATTTCCACGAAAACATATCCTCTCAACTTAACTTGGCCACATTAATTTCATTGTGCTTTTAGTAACACCGGTGGGTTTGGATTTTCAAGGAATTTTTATGGGCTTCAATCTCCCTAATTCAGCCAACCAAATTGTCTGTGCAATGCTCTGGGGAAGAAAACCAGAAAGAAAAACGTGACAAATATCTAGTGTATACTGGAACCGTGCAGGACGGACACACACACACACACACACACACACACACACATACACACACACACACAATCTCATCGACGAGTCACTACCTGTGAAGTAAGCTTTATTATTCCTGTTTTACAAAAGAGGAAACACAGAGTCGAGATTAATAAAATAATTTACCCCAAACCACACTTATTAACTTAAAAAAACCTATCATGGGTTCTTCGACAGAACAGCTTGTGTTTTGAAGTCTGAAGGATATCAGAGAAAACATTTGTAGTTGGATCGAACGCGGATCCCCACTATAAAATTCATGATCAAAATGGTCTCATGGGAGAGAATTCAGTGCTAATAGAGCCAAACAATATCTATTGATCAGCCTGGAGTGGAAGCTCAGTGGACCAGGAGGCCTGAGTTTAGTCCACCTCACTTTTCACACTTTTGGGCTTTTAAGCTGCCCCCTCTCAGCCTCGGTTTCCCCAACAGGGCACCAACAAGACCCTCAAAAAGTTCCAGATTTTGGACATTTTGAGCTTTAGATTCCCAGATTAGGGATGCTCAACTATTCCAAAATCTGAAGCACTTCTGGTCTTAAGCATTGTGGGAAAAGGATGCTCAATTTGTGTCACTTATCAAGTCCCTGCTAGCTCAGATGTCCCATCCGTGAATCACTAGTCAGGTCCAAGGCTCACTTTAGCAACCCTGGACTCGCGAGCACCTTTCTTGAATTCTTTCCTGACCAGCATTACCACATGTCCTGGTTCCAAGCCACAAAATCTTGAGGTCTCATTTCCCCCTCTTTCACCCTCACCCCAGTATTCTTTCCTGTGTCTTGTTCAGATTTCACTGGTTCTGTCCATCTTGCCTGTCCTCTCCTGCCTGGCTCAGGTTTGCAGTTGCTTTCCAACTGGTCTCTGCCTCTGAGCCTGGGTTCTGGAACAGTCTGTGGGTGCTGCCAGACTGATCCTATTACGAGACCATGAAACTCTTCTCGCTGTCCTCCCTCCTCGTGAAGCCACGGCCCTGCTCTTCTAATTCCCCCAGTTCTGGTCCCGACTCAACCTCTCTGACTATTAGTTAATCCCTTGGTCTCATTCCTTGGTCTATTAAAAATGGAGAGTGGACAAGGTCCTGCTCAAAGTAGTCTAAAAATGCCCCAGCTCTCCCAGAGCCACATAGAGTTGCCGGCAGCCTGGTGTGGACCAACCTCAGCCCGCCTCCCCGCCACGTTGCCAGAGCGTCCTGGGAGCCACTGAGGGTCCGACAGTGGAGACAGGGGAGGGTCGAGTCCGGTCCATGCTCACTGTGATGCCAGGGATGGTGTTTGACTCCCTCGGCCTGTTCTTCACCTGCAAAAAGGAAAAGTTACCCTTTCCCTGGGTCCCTTAGAGATTTGTTGAGAAGGAGTGACTATAGAGAAACAATCTTTCCATTCTTTCTCCCTCCTTCTTCTATCCCTCCCTTTCCCCTTCCCTTTTTCTTTCCTCCCTCCCCTCCTCCTTCCTTTCTTTCTTCCAAATATGTTCATCCTATGCACCAGGCACTTTGGTAGACATTGGGTATATTATGACACCAGGCATATCAGGGAGGAGAGCACAGTGTCAACCAGCTCTGTCCAATAGCTCTTTCCAGGAGATGAACTATGGTAGCCACTAACTGGATGTGGCCACCGAGTACTTGAAACATAGCTACTATGTTGGACTGAGAATCTGCATCTTTATTGTTTAATTTTAACAAATTTAAGTTTAAATAAACACACAGGGCTGATGGCCTCTATATTGTATGGCACAGACCTAGCTGTATGATGGTAACAGAAGCATTAACAATAAGACCAGTCCGGGCAACTCAGGGAGATCCTGTCTCAAAATAAAATATACACAGAGCTGAGGATGGAGCTCAGCGGTACAGCCTTCACCTAGCAAGTAGGTAACCCTGGGTTCAAGCCTCAGTACCAAAAATATTAATGATTAATATTAATCATTAATATTAATTAATGATTCTCCAAAAAGTTAAACAGGACTACCATATGACTCAGCAATTCACTCCGACATATACGCCCCCAAAGAACTCCCAACAAGGATTCAAATACTTGAGCACAGATGTTCATAGTGACCAAAGATGGAA